TCGGAGCCTGAACATGTGACCAAAAGACAACCAATCTTTCTCCACAAGAACAATGAAACCCTCGATTGTGCGGTAGTAAGGATCCAACATGATTTGAGCCAAAGCACTGAGCTGGCTGGTACGGTCCCAGCCGTCGGAGCAGTGAATGAGAACATGTGAATGGTTGATTCCGATCTGTCTTGCAATTATAGCTGACCCATCCAGAACATCATGAATGTGCCGTAGCCAGCCACTCTGATGGAGCAGCTCTCTGTTTGGCGGTAAAGGTGAAATGTCGGCGTCTTTGAGTGCGTCAACGACCTTGTTGAGGGAGCTTCGCATGACGTGAATATTCTCAATACTAAGGAATATCTTCCGTGCAAACTTGTACTTGTCCATATTTTCCGAGCCCATTCCTTGTACTTGATTCACCATTGCATTGATAGTAGGACGAGCATCCACAATCAAGTTACTCTGCTGTGCACCATATACTTGACGCTTCCCAGAAGAATCATAAACGGCAACGGACCTCGAAATGAGCTCATCTTCATATCGTTCTGTCTCCGAAAGCTCCGGCTCCAGTGATGAGTTTCCAAGGGACACATCGGGCTGACTCGATAGAGGGGTGCTTTCCTCAGAGCCTGGTGGTAAAAGAGCGTTGAATGATGCCGCTACCAGCTTCTCATCTTGCACGTTTGTCTTCCTTGTGATGCCAGAGAGTGGTTGAGAGCTTCGAGTGATGGTACAATTGTTTACTGGATGAATGTATGACAGCGCCGGCACACGGTTTCTCGAGCGGAACTCCTTCGCATATTTAAGGACATTATCCGAGATCTTGGAGGGAACAACCAGAAAAGCAGGATATGTATCGCAAAAGGTATAGTCCTTGTTGATGTGCGTGATCCTCCAACCTTTATCAGGCAACTTCTCGCTGATGCCCTGCCGTCTGAACTCCGCTTTTGGATCGTAGACCGACCAGCCGCCAACCTCTCGCTCATGCTTTAGAGGCTTGTGGGCGAAAGCATAGAGCTTCTCTACCGTTCCTAGTTTGCAAGTTCGAGACTTGATGAAATCGAAAGCTTCCCGGGCAACCTCGCTGTCGGTGAAGTTGAATGTCACAAACGTGAAGTCGCGACATCGCAAACGGATGGATGGAGCCTGGCGAGATCCGGGTGGCACCGGCCGAAATGCGCAATAGCACAGCATGGGATATGGGATCCATCTCTCGCGAACTTTGAGCTTCTGAGACGAAGTTCCTGAGGGTTTGGCGGATTGATCGATGGGTGCGCAGAATACCAGATGGAAATCGGTCAGTCGCAAAGTGCCATGAGTTGTTTGGCCGCCATAGATACCCTGGACGCTCTCGATGATCTACATGACGTTAGGAGCCGAAATGCAGCGCAGAACCGTACATGAACAGGCAGGATGCTCTTAAAGGCGACTGGAACCAGGCGATCATGCGTACCTTTCGGGCTTCCATTTTGGCAAACCGCGGATACTGTCCACCGCGGCTTCACCGTCTTGTAGTTGCTAAAGGGAGAGGGATCTCTCTTCTTAGAATTTGTGTTTTATCAATGATCTTTCGTATGTCGGTGAGGGTGACTTCTCGGAAGCTATGGTGATGTAGTAGAGGTAGCTCAATATCGCGGGGCCGCCGGAAGATGAAGAAGTAGCTGTTACAAGGCGACCTGAGAGGAGAGGTTATGAGACGGACTCTGACATATTTGTCACCCCTCAAGTAAGAAAAAAGAATGAGGAAATTAGATGCGCACCGAGGAAAGCTTTGGCCTCGACTTTGAGTATAAATGGTTGGAGTTTATTTTAGAGCCGGAGACAGCTCATATTCATCATCACGAGCCACAGACGCCCACTTGGCATCTGGCAGGAGGGGCTCAGCACTGTCAGCTACCAAAAGAGACTGCGACGTCACCTCAGAGGTCAGGGCCATGGTCCAAGCACTTTCCCTATTTTGGTTACGTGGGTCAGGTCCATCTCGTTAATTTGTTTCTCCGTTCTCCGACCACGAGGATACCTAGGTACGTACCCTAAATCTCCCTCAAATTCGAGCCCCACTTCTCCAAACGGAATGTGCGCCCAGTAGCCCGCTTGCCAGATTTAGGGCTCAACCACACACCAAAAAATTGAGCGAGTAAGCCAACATTTGTGAGTGCAGCGAAGCCGAAATCCACCCAGGATCGCGAATCTTTCTCTTCAGCCCGCCAACCCTCAGCTCGCCAACAGACTCAAGACAAGACACCAAGTCAAGTCCAGTCCCGACAACACAAGTCCTATTTTCAAGATGGCTCACCCCGGATCTCAGATGTGAGTTATTGACACTGCAATTCCGAACTTCTCCTTGGTCGAATCGAAATATCGCCATCGCCATCACCAGCATCGTCACCCCGCCAAATATCATCCTTCGCCACAGAAATCGAGTCAAAAGTCCAAAATTTACTAACAACCTTCTTCACAGCTCCAAGCGGAGAAAGTTCGTCGCCGACGGTGTCTTCTACGCCGAGCTCAACGAGTTCTTCCAGCGCGAGCTCGCTGAGGAGGGCTACTCCGGCGTCGAGGTCCGCGTTACCCCCACCGTCACCGATATCATCATCCGAGCCACCCACACCCAGGAGGTTCTCGGCGAGCAGGGCCGCCGCATTCGCGAGCTCACCTCGCTCATCCAGAAGCGATTCAAGTTCCCCGAGAACTCCGTCTCCCTCTACGCCGCCAAGGTCCAGAACCGTGGTCTCTCCGCCGTCGCTCAGTGCGAGTCCCTCCGATACAAGCTTCTCAACGGTCTCGCCGTCCGACGTGCTTGCTATGGTGTCCTCCGCTTCATCATGGAGTCCGGCGCCAAGGGTTGCGAGGTTGTCGTCTCCGGTAAGCTCCGTGCTGCCCGTGCCAAGTCCATGAAGTTCACCGACGGCTTCATGATTCACTCTGGTCAGCCCGCCAAGGACTTCATCGACCACGCTACCCGTCACGTTCTCCTCCGACAGGGTGTCTTGGGTATCAAGGTCAAGATCATGCGCGGCTCCGACCCTGAGGGCAAGGCCGGTCCCCAGAAGACTCTCCCTGACGCTGTCACCATTATCGAGCCCAAGGAGGAGCAGGCTGTCCTCCAGCCTGTCAGCCAGGACTACGGCGCTAAGGCCGCCCAAGCCGCTCAGGCTGCTCAGGACGCCCGAGTTGCTGAGGAGGAGGGTGGTGAGGAGGTCCAGGCTGTTGAGCAATAGAATGCTTAAATCACCAGGCTGGGAAAAGCCGTCAAAACCTGATGAAGGAAAGATGGAGATCCGTGGGATGAGAGACGGAGGTCTACTCAGGCGTCAATTGATCATTTGCATCTGCTAAGGGCACGGACGGTTTCATTCTTGCTTGTAATGGTAGGCAAAGCATAAAAGAGAAAAATGAGACCCGAAGATTACGACGACACGTCTTGTGACTGTGTCTTCTGTCTACCAATACCTTGAGTGCCATTGAGCGACTTTGAAGTCTTGTCTGAATTGTGTACGTGAACATTTCGTAGACAGGCTACCTTGCCCCATAGATATATCGAACTGGCAACACTCAAATATCTGTACGTCATACTTGTCTGCCTATTTTCGGGGTGCTACATATTTCCTCAGACACGAGTTCAGGTTAATACACAGCGCATCTTAGGGAGTATCGTAACAGCAATAACAGCCACGCCGATTTTGCCTACTTGGATTGCGTTGAAATAACAGTTATATTTCTAATCGCCTGTTTACCTATTCTGTGTACTACCTCTTCTGGTTCTAGGTTTTCTTAGACTCAACTTGCGTGAAGAGCAAGCCTGATGACCATCTTAGAATTCGGTCAAGACTATATCAGAGCGGCCTCCTTTTCTTTGTGTCTTTACTAAATACTAGATTGTAATATAAGGCAGTAAGATTGCCATTTGCGGTGGTCTGGGCTTCCGTGATATGTCTTGGATGCTATGGTTGAGTTTAGATATTCGGCGATATTCAATTCTATAGCGATTTGAAACGATGGCCAGTGATGTTCAGAGATGTCCTCAATCCTACTCTAACCCCCCTTTTCAATATATTCTTTTCTTTACTTATGGCACTCGCCAATGAACGGATAGTATGAGTATGGCTAATCGTTGTCATCCATAGTCCACCAAGTTAGAACTAAACTAAAGGAAATGGCATATATCATATGTCAAGTCAGGATAGGAACCCACATCCTCATTCTGCTAATAAAAAATAGTTGAGCTCAAAGGGCACATTGCAGACAGCACGATAAAGAATCAAGTATAATCAGAGTCTAACATCGCCATGTCGAAACCTCGTTTTTGTGAGATATGATCCCAGTTGTTATCCAATGTACTAAACGTCGTAATAATTCTTGTCTATAATAGGTAGCATCTGGCTTTCCCTCTTTTCTTGTTAAAATTCAAACTTGGCTTCCTCAACCCCAGAAAAAGCCCTGCGACTTGGATAACAGATCTACTACACCCGAAACGTTCGTTCATGCCCTGGAGAATTGAGGTAGTGATATACACCCAAATCGCCTTTTCATCGCCCGATATAGACTCAGACGTTGACGCCTACTTTGATCCGAAACCATCCCTGTATAAACGGCCCTGATATGGAAGTTCGCCGTCTTGTCCCATCCTGTCGCTCATGCTCTGTAGTTATCGTACAACGAGAATTCGCCTGTGGCCCCAATACAAAATCCGCCAACGCCGTCCAAGACCGTGTGCCCGTAGTACTCCAGTAATAGCAAACAATACATGTCGTCGATTCCGAGTCCCAACCCCGTTTGGCATAGGTAAAAAACACAGTTGGCACCAACATTAAAGGATGTCGTTGCGTAATGTACCATCCATGAATGCAGCCCATACTCCGAGAGAAATGCCCGGTCAAATGGTTTGAAAATGTACAATGCCTGTTTGAGATGATGAAACATGCAAGATATCGTTGCGGAGCTGATGACCGGTGGTCAACCGATATTCTTTTACTCCGCCATTACGTTACTTGAAACGTCGCAGACCATCATCGATCGCCTGACTTGTGGCGGTTATCGAGCTCGATGTTTTCGTCGTAGCTTGCTTTGCCATTCCCGTTGGCGTGTCGAACATCTTCGTCACTATCCGAGGCGAGGTCGGTCAGAGCGAAACCAGCAGCTTCCTCCTCATCATATGCACGAATGAGGCCCTCGCGGTCTCCACGTTGGCTGCTAATGCTGTGTCGTGAAGGGTCACCACTCCTCCTTGCCTGCATGCTCAGACGGGTTTGTAAACCAGAAACCATGTCGGTACCGGTAGCGTCGCTTCCTCCTCGTCCAGCAGTCAATCTTTGGCCATGGGGGTCGCCCCTGGAAAGGTTCAGGAGATAGACACCCGTGAAAGTAACCAAGAATCCGCAAAGCAGCGAGAGAGTGTTGACTGGATCGTTCGTGTTGAATCCGCTGAAGAGTATAAAGGAGGCACAGAGGGTCGCGGTGGTGAATGTTACGTAGTAGAGAGGGTTAACGCTGGCACCACGTTAGAAAAGGTCATTTGTTAGAACTCCGTAAACCACTTACATGTTAGTGGGGAAACTGGCAAGAGCTTTGTTGAAGTAGTTCATCTGGGTAAGAATGCATACGGCCGTTAAAATCATGAAGACGTATGTCGAAGGGTGGCTGAATTGGTTGTGGCCAGCAAAAGTAAGCTTAAGCGCAATACCAAAAGCCTTGACAGACATGACGGAAATGGAGCCGACGGTGGAGCAGATGGAAAGATAAATGAGAGCGTTTCTCCTTCCATAGACAGGGGCAATCTTGTAAATCATGAAGACGGCGAAAGCAACAACGGCGAACGCGTAGAGAAGGAAACCTGAGATCAAGGTTAGGAGATGTCACCCTTGCAAATATGCTTTTTGGTGTACGAACCTGGCTGAATTGCGTAGTGCAAGATCTCGTCAACAGTCTCGATCTCCTCATCCGGAGGCGCATGAAGAACAATAATAACAGCGCCGATCAAGCATATAGCACTGCCGAGCTTGCCCAGCGTACCAAGCTCTTCGTCGAGGAAGTACGAGCCAAGAACAGCGCCAATGAGCACACTGAGAGCTCCAAGAGGTGTGACAAGGATAGCAGGGGCGAAAGCGTATGCGGCGAAGTTGCAGACTTCTCCTAGACCAACTAATTTGATGTTAGCAAAGCTTTCGACGAAGATCGTTTACGATGGAACACGTACGAGTCGCAATACCGGCCCACCACAGGGGATTTCGAAGGTAGACAAAGCCGTCACCTTCAAAACCATGTCGTTCTTCTGCTTGAATCAATCCCTAATAAGTGGATTAGTGTCATGCCCAAGGCTAAATGCAGAACATGGCGCTGGGCGGCGCTGAAGCAACGATAGAATTCGCCGCTCGCAGACAGCAGCTCTGTTAGACGAACCTTTTTTGTAATAACGAAGCTTGTTCCTGAAAGATGATTAGCCATGCAACGCCTCCTTGTAATCAGGAATAACTTACCAATGGCCAAAGCCGATGTCATAGCAAGAGCCAGACCGATATACCTTGAGGCATATTAGCACTTGTACTGAGAATAATGTAGTCGGGTTACAAGAAAGGCCCGATCGAGGTGGCTTCTCAGGAGTAAGGCCACCAGGAGTGGAACGCGACATACTTGTCCTCAATCATGATGTTTTAGAGAGCGCACGACAGCGACGAAGCGCACAAAGTCGACTTTCTATATATGTACCCAATGCGCTGAAAGCGATGATCCGAGTCGAATAATGGTTTGGGCAGAATGCGCCGCAGAGAGTCGGAGCTGAACTGAAAGAATCGTTCACTGTTGGCGTGGACTCGCACCGGGCGAGAGAAGCCGTATAGCAATAACGAGTGTTGAAACGAGTGAGTTGCTGATGAATCGGGCTCGACTTTATCGCAGACACATCAAAGTATCGTTTTAAAACTCTTCGTCGGGAAATTCGAATCGAGATTGTAGTTCTGGCCGCGTGGACGATTGCAGAGTCTCGGCGTTGGATGCAGATGGAGGGGGGAACCAGGCGGCTGCTGCAAGCAAGCGATTTGCGACGGAAGAGGATCGGTTTTAGGGTATCCTATGGTCGAATTATTGTCGAATCCGTTATTGCCTTCGTATCTTGACAAGCGTGAGACTCGTGATGCGCAACGACGGTATTCGCAGAAGGCAGGGGGGGTTGGATGATAGGGAGAAGGGACAGCTTGGCTGGATTGTAAGTAAAAATGGAGAGGCAGCGATGGGATGAGATACAATACGTTAGTCCAGTCCTGTGCTGTGCTGTAGGAGGTAAGCGGCTGATGGGTATGGGTCAAATCCAGTTCGCGTGGGAGAGAGAGAGACAAAGTTTGGGGAGGCCAGATCAGACCCGACGAGACCAGACAGGGGCCTGCTAACTACAGGCTACGGGAGGCTTGGACAAAACCAGCAGTGGAGAAGCAGAAAAGGCTGAGGTACTTGGGTTGAGTTGAGATTATAGTGTGCTAACAAGTACCTCTACCAGAATCAGGCACAGCAAAGTTCAAGAGGTTTCAAAAGAGGGCGCCAACAGAGGAAGATGGGTCCATCCATTACCCCCTGGCGTCAGGTCCATGTCCCTGGCGTTACAACTTAGACTCACTAACACTTCAGGGCCCTCAGACTCAAAAAGAGGTGGGGACCCTAAGGTGAAGTGCCTGTATTTTTAATTTTTAATTTTTATTAATTTTTTGCATCTGACGACACTTCATTCCACTATCCAGCCAGTATCCATCCAATATTTAAAGATTGTCCGAGAAACTAGAGACTAGCAGCCGGTAAAGATAAAACAAACCATCGGGAAACGGCAACTTATGGGAAACTCGGCACAGACCCGAGCGTCGAAACATAGCAATTGCGTTAGGTTGCCTAACTTCCGCTGACTTTTATACCACTGCTAAGGCCGAGGCTTAGACGGCACGATACGACACGACCACAGCGCAACACAACACGATACGATATGATCGATGGGTGCGAGTGGTTCTCACCCCTGAACTAATGTTGACACACACACACACAAAAGTACGTTGTGCATGCAGTTATTAGTTACAACAGACACTTACTGCAAGAGATTCCCCATATCACAGTCACTTCAGACAACCAAATAGTCATTGTAGTAGAAGAATTGGCGTACTCATCTGTTCCCCAAAATATCGTAACCTTTGACAGTTATCTTTACAAAGACTTCCAGGTTTCTTATACATCCAAACTTCCTATAAGTTTCTACTATATTAAGGAACAAACAACTGACAGATAAACGACTCTGGTGATGCTCACTGACTTTTACTCCCTGTACACTCAATTCACTTACTAGCGCTTCCCACTGATTGATTCAAGGGGGACGGACGATAAGCCCCTTGCCTCTCATCCTCTGCTGCTCACTCGTCATCTTTCGGCTTTAACCCCTGGACTCGTCTCCATTTCCAGCCCAGTGAGTTCGTCCTTGTCCCGCAACCTGTCCTCGTGTCCACGTCAGCAGCCCGCATCTCAAGCTCCAAACAGTCCTTGGTTTTTTTGGGGAAAATGTTTTATTTAGCATCCGCAATTCGGTAGCTTAGTGCCTCGCTCAGCTTCGTTGCAACAAAGATCGAGAACTTCTCACCAACGCCTCCCGTGCGCCACATCAAATAGTTTTTGCTGTCTGAGCCACGTTCAATAAGTTATCCTCAGTGAAGCAGTTGCGAGAATTTACAACAAAGGTTTTATATAGGCAGAAAGAGTATCGCAGTACTCGGATCCATCCAATGCTAGACTGCAAATTGGTCTGATATTGTGGGCTATTATTAACACGCCAACCCTACTCTTCATCTTGTTCCTGATCGACACTCTTAGCGCTCAACTTAATCAACCCCTAACGTAGCCGACACCATCAAACAGGGATCCATGACGCCCTTTAATGCTACGGGTGACTCGGCGCTGGAAACAAGTTGAGTGATCAATGCTCATCATTAAGCTGTTTCGATCTTTGTTTCTGTTTGGTGATAACTACCTGGCCAAACCCCTTCGCCATGACTATCATGATAATCCAGATCACGTTATTTATAGAATCTTAGCGACCAGATCTCAGGATAGTGTTTTTATCAAGCGAATCGCCTAAAGACTCCCCAGGATCCTACACCAAACGCCTTTAATAGCCACCTAACCCCGTCAAAGGCTCAGATTGTTTGCTATAAGTAACCCCAACCTAAAGCGTAGAGTATAGATCCACATCAGAAATGCTGTCCGTCTCAACTATCTCTCACGCTTCACTATAACTTCAACTTCAAGCACCGTTCACAGCTTTGAGTTTTCCCTCCGATCCAGCCGCCAACGCCTCATTCCATCCCACGAACCATATCATACAGAACCAGAACCAATCCACCTGTTCTCTTACCGACCAGGATCGTGCATTTTGTTCTTATATTATTAATTTGAAAGGGGAAAGGGTATCGACACTTGCGTCATCAACAATCGAGTACGAAACAAAACAAAGGGCCATGTTGTCGATGGTCAGAATCAAGCTCAACCTCATAAAACGCAGAAATGCATGAGATCTTTTTCGTCCTATAGAATTAGTAGATATGGATTCATTTCTTACCTACCCAGAATCCGCTGGTATGGGCCTCTGTGACCCATGTTGTGTTGTTCAGAACATGTTGTATTCTTACCACCAGGAAAACTTCTGCGACAATAGCATTGAGAACAATGACAAAGATCAAGGACCTGACTGTCAAGTTCAGATAGCCACTGTGCATCATATTACCGGCAGCTGTTGGATTTTAGTTATTGTAGAGGGGGGGTGTTTGTCGAGATTGGAGAATGGTGCGGTTAGTTTGGAGGCGAAATAATTCAAGGACGACGACGCTTGGCATCTACATAACGTTAGCCAACATTGCATCTTAGCCGAGGATCTTCTTTATCGTACCTTGCTCATCTCCCGCATCTACATCATCGTCATCACCACGGGCTCTTTTACCAGCAGCCGAAGGAGTGCTTGGTGCTTGGTCTTCTACCACATACTCTTCTCTCCAGTCGATTTCGTCCAAGTCGTCATCGCCAGTCTGGCTTTTCTCGGCCGTCTCAACTGCTGTGGAGGGCACGCCGAGGTCAACGTTGAAAGAGGACGCTTCCTCCTCCTCTTGAAGAGTGGTTGTAGTGCTCGTGTCATTAGCTTGTGCGTGGAGTGGTTCAGGCTCGGCATCGACATTAACCTCTTCTTGGGTCTCTGTGTTCTCTTCGAGAGCGCCATCTCCGTTGAACTCGGCTTCCTCGTCTAACTCGAGGTTGGCAAATGGATCAATCTCGCTGTCAGCTCGTGCTGGAGTAAATTCGTCAGTTTTATTGAAAGAATACGTTGTGCTGAAATCAGACAGGGAGCGATAATGTTTGGATTGATGGGGATGGAGGAATTGTACTTTGGGTGAAAGAATGTGCATGGATCCGTAATTGCACTTGACACTTTTCCGGAATTCTGCTTCATCTTTGTTGTGATTTTCGACATACTCCGCCACACAGGGGGCACAGAGACAAAAGTCGGGGTAATAGCAACAAAAGAAAGTGGAAGAGAATGAGGTTGCTTTACCATTTTGCTCAAGACCTTCCTCATCAGCAGCCGTGAAGCTGTCAACGGCGGCCTCTTGGTCCTCCAAATCAACGGCAGAAGCATTGGCTGGTATCTCGTTCTGAGTGTCTGTTGCAACGTTGATGTTGTCTCGATCATCTTCATCGTGGCCATCCTGATTATTGGCCTCCTGGCTATCGACTTCATGGACATCGACTTCCCGGTCTTTGAACTCTTGACTCTCAGAACCAGTGGCATCGGGGTTCGCATGTTCGTCTTCCGGATATTCATCCTCAATTTCTACTTCATTTGTCTCGCTGTGATGTTCATCATCAACTGGGCTGTCGAACTCGTCCAGTTCCTCATGAACGCCATCGATAGTTGCAGCTGTTTCCAGCATACTGGCCCCGGCAGTCATGGGAGTCTCGAAGAGATGGATAACTTCATCAAGCCCCTTCCCCGCCGTAGCACTCTCGATGAGATACTCGAAGCGTTTTTCTGTGTTGGGTTTAGTAAAAAGATAGGCATACAGTGGACGTGAGCCATCTGGGTCCTGGTTCTTGGCAAGAAGGTCGAAAATTTCAAGAATTTGGCGGAGCGTGACATTCGACATAAGTTCGCCTTGGGTTGTCTGTTTCAAAAATGTTAGCTAATTACCGATAAAAGCCAGAATCTTTCCATACCTCAGCAAGTTCGAGGCCAAGCTCGTCGACCTGAAGTACCAAGTCCTCATCCTCAGCAATCTCATTTTCAAGTTCACTCCGAAGACAAGCAACCAACTTCTCAAGTGGTTCATCAAGAACCGAAGTATCGGCAAAGAAACCATGGGTGGTGGTGGAGAACATAGGGAATTCGTCTCCTTTATACTGTACCGTTATAGCAGGAAAACCCTCATCTGCCTTCCCATTTAAATCTTCATCAGTAACTAAGTGATCCGCATGATCTGTATCAGCGGTTGCGTGTTCATCATATGCATCTGGGTCATGTTCGCCCGCGTCATAATCGTGATCTTCAGCCTCCTCGACAGCTCCAGTTGTTTCATCGTTTTGCCCTGTCGCCAAGGTAGTGGTTTCATCATGACTAGTCGCGTCTTCTCCATGATGCGTTTCGTTATTGTCCTCAGATGCATGGGTATTTTCAACATTATCCTCATCTGCCTTCACATCCTCGGCTTCAGCTTCACCAATCGCAACCTTCTCATCGGGCTCAGCTTCTTCTTCTTCTTCTGGATCGTGAGGTACATTTTGGCCATTGTGACTTGATATGTTATTATCTTCTTCGGTGTGATCGGATAGGTCTTGTCCGGTTGCATCAGCATCATTCTCAGTTTCGTGGACATCTGGTTCTTCCGCAGCACCGGCTGCTCCATTTGGCTCAGACCTTGCTGTATGGCTTGCGGCAGCTGTATTCGCATCTTGATGCGACTCTTCTTGTTCTGCATTTTCCTCAAATTCATAATCAATCTCATGCGCAGATTCGTGATCGTCAGGCACGGCATCGCCATGAACGATTATTTCATCCAAAACTTTGACGTTATCTTCGTTTTCTGGCACGTCTTCGTCGGGTGGCTGAGCTGTTTGTGTCGATTCCTGAGTCCGAAGCTCAGGAGCCTCGGTCACTTCATAATCCACATGTTCGGGACTGTTTGCTGTATCCTCGACATCGTGAAGGTCGAAGTCCACATCCTCGCCCGTGATACCATTCGTCTCGTAGGCTGTATGATTCACAGAGTCCTCATCTTCTTGCATTTCTCTGTCCATGCTCTCGAAGTTGTCGTCGTTCTTTTGCGGGTCTTGATTGGAATCAGCCATGTCGGTATCGAAGTCGACGAGATCGTCCTCGATTTTACTGTCCAAGACTGGCTTGGCCATATCAATGTCCATTTCGATTTCCGTCATGTCTTGGTGTTTGGTTCGGATTCTTCAGAGCTAGTGCTTCGAATCGAGTTGAGTAGAAGAGAGTTGCTATGATGAGGAGTCGAGTGCTCAACGCGAAGCAAGCCGATGAATCAAGGCAATAAAGGGAAAGATGCGTGCCCAAGGGCGGCAGTTTGCGCGCGTTGGGATAAATTTGCAGACGCGATGGTTTGAATCAAACGGACAAAGACCAAGCTTGGCTAGAAATGTAATTTAGGCTGGTATGCGACATTTGATCCGGGATGGTGAGATTATGTTCGATATAAAAAAAGAACGCCCACGCGTGCCGTTCTTAAAGTGCTGGTATTTTCTCTTTCGTGGGTCCGCGAAAGGAAAAAGTAAAATAGCTTTGTTAAGGTTGAAGGTCGAAGTTGAGGAGAGCGTGTGGACTGGGCAGGCAAGCTCTCTAAGAATGGATTTCGTTGGTGATTAAACAGCGGGACCCAGAAAGGCTGAGGTGAGGTGAGTGTCAGGGAGGTAAGAGGCTGACGCTTACCTAAAAAGAGCTAGCGTGGGGTAGCTGGCTGCTGGGCCGTGCTGTTCTTTCCCTTCAGTTTCGTAGCAGCTCCTGGCTTCCAGGTGGCCGTAAGAGGGGTACGTACCTCTTCAGGCTCCTGCACCTCCCACCGACTTGAATATTGGCCCGCTCTATCTAGCATCCAGGGGACGAACATTCAACAACTTGCAACCCTCATCGCAATCAACAAACATCTGCTCGAATTAGTCCGCCAAGATGGTGCGCAACATCTACCACTATCACCCCTGCTTACATCGTGTACTCATGCTCCATAGGTCGTCCTTGCGGCTTCGATTTGCACCCGTGGAGGGAAAGCTGTCCTCTCGAGACAGTTCCGAGAGATGCCACGATCGCGCATAGAAGCCCTCCTCGCCTCGTTCCCCAAACTTGCCGATAGCGGTACACAGCACACGACCGTCGAGCAAGACAATGTCCGATTCGTTTACCAGCCCCTCGACGAGCTCTACATGGTTCTCATCACCAATCGCCAGTCCAACATCCTCCAGGACATCGACTCCCTGCACCTGTTTGCCCAGGTAGTTACCAGCACGTGCAAGAGCCTCGACGAGCGCGAAATCCTTAAGAATGCCTACGAATTGCTCAGTGCTTTTGACGAGCTTGTCACCCTTGGCTACCGCGAGAACTTGACCATTAGCCAAATCAAGACCTTCCTTGACATGGAGAGTCATGAGGAGCGTATCCAAGAGATTATCGCAAGGGTAAGAAGCTCCATTGGGGTCTACTTCACAGACGAATACTTATACCTACATAGAACAAAGAGCTGGAGGCCACCGAGGAGCGAAAACGAAAGGCGAAACAGCTCGAAATGCAGCGCAAGGATGCCGCTCGCAGTGGTCGCGGCGCTATGGGTGGCATGGGTGGCATGGGCAGCAGCGGTGGTATGCCAAGAAGTCCTTCCTATCCCTCATACAACCCCCCTTCGCAATCCAATACCAGCACCTACGACTCATACGAGGCTGAGAAGAACAAGTCCTTCAGCAAGTAAGTGGCACTTGCGGTGTTCTAGAATGCAATTGGCTAACACATTCAAGACCGTTGGCTCCCAAGGCAAAGGGTATGCAATTGGGTAAGAAGTCCAAGACAACTGACATGTTCGAGCGAGTACGAGGTGACATGGGAGGCGAAATCGACGATTCACCTCTTGTTACCCCCGCACCTGCACAGCATGCTGAAGCCGCCGAACCTCGTACCTCGTCAACCCTTGATCGCGATGCTATCCACGTCACTATTTCAGAGACTATCTCGGCCAAGTTGTCTCGGGAGGGTGCTGTTAACTCCCTAGCTATCAGTGGTGATCTTGTTCTCCGCATCTCGGACCCCAGCCTTACAAAGATCAAGCTCGGTCTCCAAGCTGTTGCTTCGCATGGCGTACAGTTCCGCACACACCCTAACGTTGACCGAAATCTGTTCAACGGTTCCAAGATCATCCAAATGAGCAACACTGCACGCGGCTTCCCGGTCAACAATGCTGTTGGTGTTCTGCGATGGAGAGCTTCTCCTAAGGTTGACGACGCCAGCGCATGCCCAATTACCTTTACTGTCTGGATCAACAAGGATGGAGCCAAGTACAACATAACGGTTGAGTACGAATTGACCGGCAGCGATGCCCTGAACGATGTCAGTGTCGTTATTCCCTATGCAGGTAGCGAGCCTGTTGTTTCAAGCTTCGATGCTACCTATGATGTTTCTGGCGATGCTCTCGAGTGGACAATTGGCAACGTGGATGAGGAGAACCCCAATGGCTCATTCGAGTTCGAGGCTGAGTCCGGTGATGAGAATGATTTCTTCCCTATGACCGTTCGCTTCAACAAGAGCACACCATACATTGACGTTGACGTAAGTTCAAATCCTAACCCACGTACTTAAGTTCATGTTAACCATTTCACAGGTCCACTCCGCGTCTCTTTTGGAGGAGGACGAGGAAGTGACATTTTCCAAGGAGATCAAGTCTCACGCAGACAACTTCTTGGTAGAATAGACGGATCCCAAAAGTCTTTCGGTTTTGGAACAGCTTCTGGGCGAATTTACCCTATAAAAGGATAGGGATATGTATTTGAGTAGAGCTGGAGATAGGCATCAGTAGGAGTGTCTCGGCGGTTTAGAATTTAATGGCGCAACGACAATTGATGTTTCGTGTTTTGGTGATTTTGTTAATAAGTGGCCGTTGCTCGTCATTATTGGCACGAAATCAGCTTCCTACAGCTAAATACACGCACGCAATAGTGACTATCGTAGGGGTTTAAGATGCAGAATCGAGATATCTTTCAGTAATAGGTGTATACTGTCCTAACCTAAGCTTTGATTTTTAGTCTTAAACCTGTAATTATATTCAGCAGTTTTGTAATCGTGTCCTCAATGTTTTTTTGTATTTAATGAGTACGCATTTCCCTCTTTCCCTAACTGACTGTTCTTCTATTTTCACGAGCAATAATATCTCTGTCTGAGTTATACAGTGCGAGTTACTCACTGATGCACGGTCCGTACTAAATCCTGCCTGTGGGCTTGTTGTTTCTCGGTCACAACTTACATACAACATTACACTCTCCAAGCAACACGAAAAAGGATAGTTTGCAGCTCATAGGGATGTTGGACGTTCTCTGAAAATACTCTCATGCGCTGCGTCAACGCCACAGATAAACATGGCGCAGCACAACCAACTTGCGCTCTTCAGCGCGACTGAGTATCAAGACAGGGCACCTGATGGCTACCCTGTGAGCTGCCCAACTCTCGATCTCTCAGCAACTTGGGATCCAGTAGACAAGAATATTCTTGTGTATAGGCCTCCTGGCCAGGCTGTTTCCAAGATCCATCAAGTTGGTGCGCCGGGCCAAAAAACACCAGTCGCGCAGGCAATTACTTGGAGGTCTGATGGTCAGTAAACAAATGTGCCTCCATTGAGAACACTACTCATTCAATCGTCGTAGGCCAATTCCTTGCCGTCGGATGGAGTGACGGCTTTGTGCGACTGATGGGGCTCGAGAACAACAAGGCAGCTCATCATATCAAAGTTGGCGAATCTCCAGGAAACAAGATCACGCACATTGGATGGGCGAGTAGTAGCATTGCCGGGAAGAGCTCCAGTGCCGTATCTCAAGCTCTGAAGGACGGCCTCGGTAAAGATTCAACGCGGAATGGAGATGGTCTTCCATTGGATCTTCCTCGCGAATTGACTTTCCTCGAGGTTGACACAGCATTGCCCAAGATCAGCCCTCTTCCAAGCAGTAGTGCCGGCTCAGGGTACGTTCTCAGCTTCCACAATTAAAACATACATACTGATAATCCCTTACCAGAGAAGATGCTTTGGTTTTCACGTTGAGAACTGGTATAGAGTTCCTCTTCCAACCCCCGAAGCCAGAGGAGTATGACCAAGTCAGCGTTATGATTATTGGGACCAGCGATGGTCACCTTCAGCTGAGCATATACGACTCCTTCATCATTGGAAGCTTCCAATGCCCTCGGGTTGACCCATCATCAAGCTCACAGCTTATTCTTCATGCATCGCACCCACAGATTCCAACCCAGGCTCTACTAGTTGCAGACAAAACAGAAGAGCCAGAGGAGGTGCATTTGGTGCCTATTGACCTTCCCTTCATATCATCCTCCCCTATCAACCTTTCTCTCCTCGCCTCCAAGTTAACCACCCTTCAAAAGCTATTGAGATATCTCAAGCAAGCACAACTTCATATGCAGGTCGAATGGCGAAACACCCGCGAGCTTCCCACAAGATTTCTGCGAAGTATTGAAGGCGATCTCGAAAATCTCGAGGCTGGACCACGAAGTATTGTCCCCGCTCTTTACCACTTGGCAGTTACAGGTCACGCCTATGAGCCTGTACGCGAGTGGTTGGTTGAGAGTCTGGCAGAAAGAGTAAGTGGCTTAGGAATCTGGTTTCTCATGACATTAGCTAACCTTGCAGGGCCATAAACGATGGGATAAAGCAGTGGTCTCCGGCTTGGAGGGCTTGAGAAATTTAGTCCATGAGAACTTCCTCCCAGCTCTCGATCGCTGTGCAATCATCCTAAGCAGGTTACGAGGCTTGGCTCAATTTCATAACACCCGAGATGACATCGGCTTCACTCTCCAGCAAACTAGTCGCTTGATGGATATTGTTCAATGTCTCCAGCTCATCGGTCACAAAGTTTTGATCAACGTGATGGACGAACTTGATAGCTTCGCCGCATTCTCAACATGGCTACGCTTCCAAATCGACCGGCTTGCCTCTTCTAGCTCCGCGAGCGAGGAACTCACGGGAAAGGAGGCAACTATGGACATTGCAAAGGTTCTGAGTTATATTGAGAATTATCTCATCGATAGCCCGCTCAGGCTATTCTTTGACGAGATGACAAGAGAAGACTATGAAGCAGACTGGGCGCACATAGAAGGTGGTCCGACTCTGCTTCATGTCCTTGATCAGGCGTTGGTGAAGTGGGAGAACGGCCAGCCCAGTATGAAAGCTCTTCCGCGTGTCGAATTTCTTGTTTCATACGCGACGACCTGGGCGAATCGTACATTCAATGGTATTGCAGAAGCAAAGAAGCGCAGCGTTCGACTTGGAAACCCAATCAGACTCTCAGCTGGTCGTGTGGTCTCACGCAGAGATATGAGGATGAGCAAATCAAAGAACAAGGTACTGAAACCTCTTCATACGATTCATCCATTTACTCACATCGGATTAGCAAACAAGTGTGGTGACTGCTTTAGCATCTAAAGAGGCTCAAAACGAAGGTGAGGCGACTCCTGTTTATATGAACCGAAGAACTATTCTTGCTAACAGGATCGAAGTCCAAATATTTTCCGTCGCCATTGATATTATCAACGGTATCAGTACCAACAGGCCACCAATAAGCTGTCGTATCGATCTCGGCTCACGTACATTGATCGACTTGAAGTTCCTTAACGATGAAACACTCGTTATACTAAGTAACAATCAAGGTGAGCCAATGAACAGTTTCTTTATACAACAAGCATGATGCTAATGTTGCAAAAAGATACCAGGCCGCAAGTCATTTGCGTGCCTATCCGAACAGAAAAGCTTCCATATGCCGGCTACGATCCCAGCAGGCCTAGTGAGACGCCTTGCGTATCAGTTGATGGATTTACGGCCTACTCTTTTCCTGAGAAGTCAATGTCTAGACCATTGCGCATGGAGGTTAACGACAGGAATAATGTTAGGGGTGACATGCCCCCGAGAGTCTGCGTTCTTGAGAGTAACCGCACTACTCTCAAAACATTTACGTTTCCATAGCTCAAGCTTGCACACTGCTCACTTCGATAAACATCAACATAGAAATGGGAGTACTTTGAAGGAAATCCGGACCAGGCATCATGGACTCTCAAAAATCGGTGTTGACAAGGACGCTAGCATAAATAATTTACAGGTTAGAATAGAAACATGAAGGACCTCCCCTTTCAGTCATGACAGTCGAGTTACTGCTGCCGAGGCTTAGTGATATTGAAGAATTCGGTCAATCCCTCAACAACGGCCTCGACGTTCATGTTAACCAGGGGCATGCTATCGTACGAGTCCTCCTTCATGATAGCAACAAGGGCCAAGTAGCGATCCACCTCACGCAGCATGATGGGCTTGTTTCCGTCGTGCAGGACAAGGCAGCTTTCTGCAGTGTTGCAGCCAATCTGTTGATCGATAGGCGCGCTCCAAGGTTCACCCTCCAGGCGACGTCGCCCTTCATCACTACGCTGCCACGTACCATAGACCTCGGTTATATCAATAATGACATCGATGTAATCGCTACAGATCTCGTAGCTCGCCATGTCGGCAGTTGCGCTGTCAGTTGCGATATAGATCTTTGTGAGCACATCAAAGAGGTAAGCCTTTTCAAAACGGCACGTGCGGCAGAGGTTGGTAAGCATGGATTCCAGCGTTCCAAGGCGAGGAATGAGCTTTTGGATAACTTTGCTGAAAGCTTCGAAAATAGAATGGTTGTAAATGGAGGTGAGGTGGAAGGTGACGGGGGCGTTCTCGAAGCCGTGGTCTGACAGCTCATCTTGGATACGGATGGTAATGTCACGCTGGATATCGAGCTTGTAGTCATCTGAGAGGCCGTCAACTTTATGGATGAAGACCTCGATATTGATGTTGGGGTATGTTCGCTGAAGAAAGAGGATTGTGGTGTTGAGGCGCATGACGGCTTCGAGGTAGTCATCCTGGGCGTCGATGACCCAGATGAGGGCTCCAATCTCGCTGAAAATAGCTTCGATATCAAATCCTGGGTTCTCAAAGACGTCGATCTGGCCTGGGAAGTCCCAGACTTGGAAATCCATGAATGACCTATATAATTATGAGTTTGTGGTTATCACAGTTGGAGGATTGCTAGCACTAACGCCATGGAGTCCTTTTGAATCCTAGCCGTTGATTCAAGGAATAAGGTCTCGTTCGGGGGCAGCTTGTGGAAGACTACACTCGAGATGGATGACTTTCCGCTTCTGTGGCATACTGTCAGCTGATGTCTGCTCTCTACTCCCACGTATAGCATACCTTCGTTGACCCATGAGTAATAAACGCGGCTTTCCCTTAGGAGCTGCGCCAACAGAATTGGGCCCGGGGGCGGCAGGTTTTTGTGCATCCTTTTTAGAGGCCGGAGCTCCGCTAATTGACTGTTCGAAAAGACGTTGAAGATTTAGCTGGGCTGGACTTGTTCCGCTGGCAGATGCATCATCTGCCTCATCAAAGGAGTGCACAAGATTGTAAATTGGAGGGCTGAGGGACATTTTGGGGCTTGTGCTATGGTAACGGTGAAGTGGTAATTTGGTGTTGAGGACGTTCTTGAGTTTGAGTGAAAGTCAATACTGGGTTTGCTCATGTCACTTGATATGCAGCAAAATTATCCTGAGGCTTCAACTCCTTTTATCATCCTCTTGCTTTGTGTCGAATCAAGATGGCGAGCTATCAGTGGTTTATATAAATGGCCACTGACGGACAGGGACATGAAATACCCGCCAACTGGCGGCACCTGATGAGTCGGAGCAAAAGGACTCCCATCCATTGCATTATCAGGCCGATTGAAGGCGTAGAAGATTCCAACTGGCGGGATTGGAAGTGAAGAGGCCTCGGCCGTCTTGAAACCCCAACTCGTACTCATACTTCTGGGCCAGCGTGGCTCGTATAGAGCCTCGCCTCACCACGCCTCGCGTTGTATAAGAGGCCCGTATCCTCGCACTTGAGGTGACACAGACTCATCTACGCAGCGGCGGCCCAGCCAAGTGAGTATCCGTCGAATCAGGGCTTCCAGAGTGCTGCCATGGACGCTGATGCTGTAATTCTATGACCAGCGCCACTACCGAGTACCAATCTTTACCTCGATGCAGGCCAGGGCTTGGTGACATATCGCGGGAGCTGACAGGATGGAAGGGGACCCTTAGATGTGACGGCGTCGTTGCGTTGTGCTGTGTCGTGCTGTGCTTTGTTGTATCGTGTTGCATTGGTCACACGAGGGGTCAAGCGCACACTTGAACATCGAGACAAGAGAGGAAAGGAAAGGAAAGCATGGAAAATCAGGCGCAACAAGCACTAGTATCTTACCTCCATTTTGCTTAGAGAGCACGGGTCTGGCTGTCCTGTGCTGCACGATATCTCCCGTCCTAGTGGTCAAATCCCCGAGGCTGGGTTGGTCCAAATGTTGGAATGAGAGCCAGGCTGAGGCTGCGAAAGTCAATTGCTGTGCTCAGTGACTGATCAGTGAGCGTATCGTCGTAAAGGATGATCGCTTTGGTGTTTGATTGGTGAATATGTATATCATGCGGCGGGGACAAATAGCCAATTATGAGGGAAAATATCGACATGAACGCTCTATAGTTGATGGTTGATTTATGCGTCCCCGGGTGTTGGATATGTATGGTCCTGAAATTGTCATTTGGAGGTGGTTGGAGCAATGACTGCTCAGGCAGCAGCGGATAGCGCTGAAACTCTCCGCAATCCACTAAACTACCTCCTGTAACAACCTCAGGTGGTTTTCTATCGGGCCTCGATATATTCCTTATAGACTCATATGTGAGTTTATGTGATCTAAGCCAGGTTCAGATATAATGAGTCCCAAGTCGAAGTAATATCTTTGTAGGTTATCTCATCACTATTGGTATCTAGCTTCACTCCCTGACTGGGAGAGCGCTCTGTTCTTCTAATATCTTTTCTAGCTCCTGAAACCTTCATGTCGCCTGTGGCGCATGCAATTTGCAGGTGGTTACCCTGTACCGAAGCAATACTTGACTTATGAATTCCGTTCATATCTTTCCTCATAGATAAAAGAATTCCACCGATATTTCAACCTTTTAATCACTCCTGTTGACTAAGGTACCTACCTACCTAGTTGATAGGCACTTCTGCATTCGTTTTCCCTCCTATTCCGCCTCTCTGTCCGCCAATCGACTCGCTGACCTAGGAAACAGGGCATGAATGAAACTTTTCCTTCGCTTCATCGTCTTTGTGTTGTCTTTCTCGGTCTCTGTCTCGCTTTTCACAGCCTTTCCAAGAGTTGCTGGATCATCAGTTAATACACCAGTCGATGTGTCAGGATTCGATGTAGATGCGGTCTCTGATGCAGTAATCTTACTCCTCATCTCTCGAAATGCCTACTCATGTTGATCAAAACCAGCCTCTTCCACATGACATCATAAGGAACTCACCTTACTAGACCTTCTTCTCGGAGCTCTGATTGAACCTCGACGTTCCGTTACCGTTACCGTTTGTTCCTGTTCCATCGCCTCTGCAATATGCCCAGCAAGTGTGTTACCCTTCCACCCAGCGCAGTCTTCAGCGAGGGGGACGAATCTCAAGAACCCCTTAGATGGAGGAATCCTCAGAGCTTGCTCCATGTGTCTCTGGAAAAGAGCAATGTTGCGTTTGTTCGTCGTCGTCTGGACGTCCCGAGCAAGAGCCTCGATTGTCATGGTATAGCAAGGATCAGAACCCCCACCAAAATGAATACAGATCCCATGCTGAACTGTTATTACGATAGAAGATGCCGGGCGATTATATAGCAAAGAGAGGTACTCCGATAGTTCAGTGGTGAAAGTGAATTCATCTTCAATCTTCAAAATATAAATGTTAGTTACGTGTTCTCTGGTCTCATACAGCGCGTCAACTTACAATGACGTTTGCCTTGATTTCTACTAGAACAGGAGACTCATTCCGTATTCGATCTCCGGAGACTTGCGCATGATTCGATCCAAACGCTTCCTCAAAGAAGTCACTCCGTTTTCTGGTGAGTATCGGTAATGATTGCTTTCTCGTCACTTTGGTAGCATCCCCAGAGACCATCTGCTCTACATCCTTTGAGAGTCGTTGATCGCCCTCCAGAACAGGGTCGAGACTTGGCTTGCTAAGGCGAGGCATGACTCTTCGCTCTCCCGGGACTAATCTTGGAGTTGGTGCTGAGGCTGGAGTTTCTTGTTTCTGTCGTGGTTTCGAATTGGGAGGCTTCGTAGAGGTGCGACTTGGGATATAAGGTAAAGCCATTGCTGGTGATAGATGCATGATGACAACAAAAGCTTGCAGAGTCGGGATCACGACGATGTAAAAGGAAAGTTACGAGCGTATGAAAGTCATTGACTACTCTGAGATGGCTTGGTTATTTGTTACAAGTGGAATCTTTGTGCGTCCATACTTTGCAATAATGTGCCGTTTGTAACAAAACCACTCAAATATTAAGCAAAAGAAACGTGAGTATATAATTATGAGAAGAATCTGTATCACGTCCTGTAATCAAATACGCAGGAGGCTTATGGCAGATGAGCATAAAGATGACTCTATTCATAGTAATTCAATGTGATGATAAACCGAGGTTGAATACAGTACGCAATAAAGAAGCGTCCTTTTGTGCCGCAATTGGTGTCACAAAGACTGCAGGTTTCCCTACGCTTCCCACTCTGTTCTTCTATAAGTGAAACCCGTGTCACGCAATCACTTTCCACACAGTTGTGGGTTCAACAAAGAGAGTTGACTGTCACTCACACTTCAAGGGGCTACCCTCTTGGCTCAGGCGAGGTCCGGTGGGCATAAAACTCCATTTTGACCGATTTACCACATTCACGATCGAGGACTGATAACGCAGTCAAGGTGTAAATGAATCCTACATGGCCATGTTAGCGAGGATGCGTTGCGGCCTTACTTGCTGGGATAATGCTGATGAAACCAGCGCCTGACTGGGATGTCTCGTGACGAGAAATGGCCTGTCAATGCTTGATATCTCATCCTTCGATTCATGCCTTCTACAAGACCTTGTTAGGTTGTTGCGGGTACGGATAATGGTGATCAAAGTGACGGAGTGAAGGAATTCTGATGTTATTGTAGCATTCGGGTACTCGGTTACCCTGGAGGTGGTCCTCACGACGAAGCATGGTCATTTAGGTGCAACGGATAGCTACATTTTCGTTTGTCTTGTGACTAAATGTTACTCGTATTGTTCCTAATGGGCTGCGGCCACTCTAAACGATGTGTTATACCCCATTGTAATGCAAACAATTGCAACCTACGTCTTATCATTTCTGACGGCACCGAGGAGACGGAACACCATAAGTTAGAGTTTCTGCTAATCACTGCGAGGCATCAGGGGCTTCCAAACTGTCGGAATGTCTACAAAATTATCTACCAGATCTGGACTGACCTGGACTGACCTGGACTGGTTCACAGACTATGCGTGCGCTAGGCATGGCCGAACTGTTGGTTCTGGTCCTGGTATTTGTCTCGGCGCGTAAAAAGAAAAGAAAGAAAAGAAAAAAAAAAAACGGTTGATTAATATTCCAAATATGACCTATCGCAATCGAAACCACATCGAGCTTTGTTTTCAGCTCTAGCTCCAGTTCCAAATCCTCAGAAGAAAAACAAAAGAGACCATAAATAATGGACCCATGTTTAATGGGCTCCAATAGTCTCAACCCCCCTTGGGCTGATTATGATACCCCAAAACTAATTCCGATCCTGTGACAATTTCATCGATCCAACTTGACTGGTGTCTAGCGATCAGACCTGATATCTCAACAATCTGAGCCCAGGCCCAAGGTCTTGGGACTCTCACATATTGGCCCTAATTTCCCAATCTTGATATCAATTTCAAGACAGGGCAGGGCTTCCCGCTTTGCGGCTTGGCCCACGAGCGCCCAAGTCGAAGCGTTTCTCCAGGGTGAACCGATACGCCGTCAACCCCAGAATTATAGCTTCGACGGGAACTAACATGACAGAGAGCGCTACACCGGCCCGGCTCTGTTTGCACAGTGTGCCGAAGTGAGGCTGCACGTTCATGGCCACGTCCTTCCAGCGACATGTCCAGCTCTGAAGTGAATCGTTGGTGGTAGAGGCGTTCACACCGTAAAAGAAGGACATGGCGATGATAGCGGCGATCAGGGCAATAGCAGGGGGCACAAATGTGATTGCTCCCTTGACTGCAGCGTTTCTGCGGGCCTTATTTGCATCATGACCGTTAGTTTTGGAACCAAAAAGCAAATATAACAAAAAGAGACTGGGGGTAGCCTTACAGTCGGAAGCCTGCTGGCGATCAACGAAACAAGATTGGCTACAATAACCAGGGCACTACCGACTACCTGAGCGACGGTAGGGCGCACATCGAAGTTGGTAGGCCATAGTTGAAGTAACCAATCTTCCGGGACGTAGGTGGCATGGAATACAGCGAGGGCATCCGCCGAAACACCAAGGATTGTCAAGCCAGCTGCGAGACCAAGGACTGTGAGGCCCAGTCTAGCGCTGTCGATCAAGCGATAGATACGAAAGCTGGGCTCGGTTCGGACCGACTCAACATCTGCTTCGAAGTTGGACGCTGATATCTCTGTCTTGGTACCGATGGACATGTTTCTGGTGGAAGATTCCATTCTGAGGATATGGACCGATATGTTGGGGAGATATTACGAGGAACAAGACCGACAGAAAAGCAAACCCCAAGACCGGCTGGAGAGAAGAGGAAATAAATATGAGAAATAAGAAAGGGAAAAGGAAAAGGAACCAAACGTAGATACGAAAGAGCTTGAATTGATATTGAACTAGATCAGGGGGATTTGCAACGTAGATATACGAGATTGATCACATCTTATCAAGATCCGTTAACCTTAAGCGACGAACACCATCACAATAACACTGAGGAGACCAATTAAATGATGCAGATCATGGTGATAAGTTGGAGGCGCCTATGCAAGAACTGCAGCATAGGCGCGCTGGTTGCCGTTGTGTGAGAGGTTGACATCAAATGCTGGGCTAGGATTGGCCGAACCTCTAACTACAGGAGTTGAGCGTGTTGCCTCGAGCGCTTAGAGAAGCATTGAGCCAATCAGAGGCAAACTTTCTTCCCCAAGATGGATATGGTTGTCACCAAGATCTATTTTGGGTCCGTATCAAACCGTTGGCGTGAGCGGTTATGTACGTTGATGATTAGGAGAAGAAGGCTGCAGGAACGGTCGACCAGTGGTCACTGAGTTTATCCATCTATCAAGCAGTGAGAGTCAAGATCATCAATCCTTTCCCATCATGGTCACATGCTCAATCACCTGACCTGTCAAGAAAACGCCACAGCACATGCCACACCTTCTGACAGCTTTCAAGTTTCAAACGCCCCCCGATGTGGACCCCGAAAATATTCGGGCTAGACTTGGCATCGCGCTCCGAACAGTCAAGATGAATCAAAGTCTTCGATGTAACATTTCTTTTCAGCTTGCGGATACCGTTCCAACCTTTACAGCAGGGGATTCCATACAGTACTGCAGAGTTCACTACCTACAGACAGCATTCGTACAGCATAGTCTTCGGAAACCGTTAAACTAGTCGGTCCGCTACCTGTCGGAAATGAAACTTGCTGGATTGCTTTTGCCAGTTGATACCCACCTGCCACTCTTACTCCGCAATGGAGGCCGACTGGTGATGTTTTAATATTGAACTGCTTCATAGTTACATAAAGTACTCGAACTGCCGGGCAGATCGATGCGGCCTGACAATTGTCTTTTGTACAAATCCTTGCGGCACAGCACAAGGATACGGACAGCCCAGAGCAGAACCAGAGGCGACTACCCTCTTCCAGAATGTCTATGAATGACCATCGTGATTTCACGATGGTTGCGTTGAAAAGACGATGAACGGGACTCGCCCGAATGATGTTAATACTGCGACTCAAAGGCTGACGTTGACGTTGGCATGCGCCAAGATGTTCAAGGCCTTGGAGGCTTGGAGCTCCCTCAATCCTCAAGGCTCAAACCCTCTATCAACAAGACGTTCTCTGGCGCTGTGAGGCGTCGCGGATGATCGACAGTAGCGTTCTCGCCGGTTGCGGTTAGGACGCCAGGACCAACAAGGGCCCGTCCTCTGCATCCTTGCAAGCCGCTATTTAGACGAGTCAATCAGAGTGGACGATGCAGGGGAAGGGTCTGACATGATCCCTAACGTTCAGTAATCCAAAATGTGCTACCCTTGACATCGTCACAAACTTAGATCTCGGATTCTGAAGAGCTGAGACAGAGACCGGCATAGAGCCTCTATACATCGAGTACCATGTGTACATATCATTGGCGGGCTGACAAGACTCAACTGGAAGATCCCGACCCTTGTCTTGAGGATATTAAAATACTCATCAGCAGGATGCAGATCTAACGCAGTTGTTAATCACCTTCCAAAGGATTGGATATGGTAAGTTGGATCCAGAAGCCCCGCTGTTGTTTCTGGGCTCAACGCAGCTGAGGACCAGGAAGAGATGGTGAAATACGGGATTTCTGTGAGAATTCGTTATGCCGACGGCAATATGAAATCTGCTGCTGGGACTATGAATCTAATGCAATCTTTATGTCCTGCAGCTGCTTAGCGTACCTCATTCTTGGGACATGATTGGAACAGTTATGACAGTTCGACAGCAGATGCAATGCATCAAAGAGCTGAGGCTACTGCAAGACCCTTTACCAGCCCACAAAACCATAGAGCTTTTTCTGGTCGATGGAACGAATGTCTGGCACTTTCAAGTTTCAACGATGGCTAAATTAGAGTCAACCACACTACGCTACGCTATGCTATGAAAGTCACCTGGGATCATGAACCTCGAGCAACTGACAATTGCACACAGTCCAATGCTGCACATTGCATTACAGCCTTGGCACCTGGGACCGGGAACCATGAACGGCATGCGGATATAAACTACGCAACCGTCACTTTGATGTCCCACACCGGAGAGAGCGATGAGGACGAGAACAGACAAAGAGGCGCTACTTAGTGGTGGATCAAGACACCCCTCGGGGAGTGTTTCGAACGTCTTTGAAGGAGGAAACAAGAGATCAAGACAATAAACACGTCTTGTCTAGATCGGAATAGCATCATATGACATGAGACATGACATGAGAGGTATGTGCTGGATGTTGGTATCTTGAATAAAGGGAGCAGGTATCGTCAGTGTCGAAGCCTAGTATTGGATATGGATTCTAAGGCTTGTGGCCCCTCCTTGTCATGCGTCGGATCAACGGCCATCCGCAAGTTGATAAGGGTAGCACCCAACATCTGGACCAATCGCATCATAGCGTGGGCTCTGAAAGCCATGACAGGGACCCATGTCCTTACAGAAGAAATGACAAGTCCAATCCTGGGGGAAAGTCTAGCTGGAAATGTTCCGGAGTCGATTGCACACGCCTATTGGTCGAGATATCTACGCATGTTTCCATGCCTTGGTCCCTTCGCAAAAGGAAACACAGTCTGAAAGGGGAATACACTCTTGCGAAGTTTTGAGATATCTATCACCGGCCACTTTTCTCCGTGATGGCGAATTCTTGGGCTCATTTCACCAGCAAGATTGCCTGTTTCTATTCGGGCTCTTTTGTTCTCCCTCTCTGTCGTGTGCGGCTCATGCGAGACACGGGAACGGGGAAATGCATACACTACACAAAACGGATAACATTGGAGTTGCAGCGATCGGTCAACACCATTTGTGGCGGCCTTGAATGCGGCATAGCACGCGACTTTGAGAGAAGACTGAAGTCAGCCAGCGCGTCTATGATCCGTGTCCCATCAGAGACAGAATTACCAAGAGCCTGATCCTAGGCTTGGAACAGCTTAACTTGAGTTGCTGTTGAATGTGATGTGATGTTGCTTGTGCAGCCTGTGCTTCAACTTAGGCTGTGATAATGCCAGCTAGCCTACACTACACTACACTACACCCCCGGCTCTCCGGACCCGAGCAGTCGGTTCTGTCCGTGATGTGCCTGATCTGTTATTGGGGTGGTATCAGGCTGGCGGAAAGTCCTGTCCTCCTGCTGTGATCTGTCAGGCTGAGGGGAATGGAAGCTGCCGAAGGGGGTGTATGGATATGGAGAAGAGTTTCCGGGAATATGAGCGAGTGCGTTTTGCAGTTTCCGGGCTGTCAAGTGCGCTTCACCCCTTTTCTTGTCTTCTTTCTTGACTGCTCAAGTCGAGTTGGAATTGAAGTCTCTTTCTCAAGCCTCGAACGCAACTCGGTTCCTCTCCCGGCAACTTACACGCAAGCCTAGAATCTTCGGACTTTGGTATCTTTTCCGTGGCTGGGGGGCTGGGTCCATTGGTCCATGACCCATTAGGCTTGAGCCTTTGCCGACGGGTACAATGGGTGATAATCAAAGCGAAAGCTTCACTCTGGTGCATTCGTTCATTGTTGATCAACAAGGGTCATCAACGATGTGTCCCTGGGTATGAATAAGTTTGGGTCTGTCAAGGATATGAACATGACAAGGGCATCAACTACTTGACATGGACATGGATCCTACGGTAGGAGAGGCATGGGTCTGTCTGTCTATGTACTGTACCTTTATTACCTAGTGAGGTGAGTGAGGACTAAATGATTTAGGCATGGATGGGTATGGGGGTGTGGTAAGAAATTGAACGACACTCCCTCTCCCAGTCCCTCTATCGTCATTCATTCATTCACTTATTCATTTTGTCTTCTCTCCCATTGTTTGTTATATTAGTATCCTTCGCCTGCCCCTCAGTGTTTACCTTGACTTTTCGAGTATATTCTGACTTTCAAAGCAGAGAAAAGCGTTTTATTTTAATGTTTTGTCCTACATTAACTGAACCAAAGGTCATTTAATGTACTCTACCTACTCTACTCATCCACTTTATGCCCAACTCAAAGAAGCTCATTACCAGCAACATCTACTACACTCTACCACAACAATTGGCGGTCTTGCGGGCGTCAATTTCTCAGCGCATTGCCACCACGCGTATCGCATAGGGTTTGCGACAACTACCACAGTATCATCTGGCACTCTGTCCTCATAAATCTTTTGCAACATGTCTTCGCATACAACAATGTATGCCCCGCCATCACCGGCGTCTGGCACCTTTGTAAGTCAACCAACCCATTCTTCACTCTCTAATCTCACAACAAAGGATGCCCAATACTAACACTATTCTTTTCAGCACAACTTCGATAAACTCCCCGCAGAACTACGTCTCAAGATCTGGAATTACAACCTCCCTCCTGCGCGCCTCGTGCCTATGCAATGCGGTTCCTCATGGTCCGGCTCCTCAGGCTCGTTCTCATGGTCAGGATGTACTTCGCCGGCGACCATTCCCGCCAACCTACACGCATGTACCGAGTCGCGAAGTGAAGCTCTGAAGTACTACGGACTTGGCTTTGGCTTTGCTCGTGGTCCTGGCCAGGTTTTCCTCGACCCCGATCGCGATATCCTCTACTTTGGACCTCGCGATGGTTATATGGCCGCAGACTCTCAGTTTCAAACATGCATGTCACTGTGCGATCCTCAAGAACTCGCTCTCGTGCGCCGCCTTGCTATCAACGATGCTCTATTTTGGGTCGACACAACTTATCGATCCATGACTGCCGCCAGTCTCACAGTCGAGATGCTTCGGCGCATTCAGTCGCGTATGCCGGGACTTGAGGAGCTCATATTTGTCCCTCGCGCAGAGGAAACACCAGAGTCTTTATCCTACATAGAGCCAACCATGGTCTATGTCCGCATGGCACAACAGATTGAAGTCGCCATTCAAACTCTACAACAACAAACCCCCGACTGGACACCGCCCAGGTGGAGGATTCTACCACTGAGCGCTTTCCAAAGCGTCGGTGCTGCTTGAGGACCTGCTTACTGAACAAGCTAAAAATGCTTTTACGCATACCAGATTTAGCCACTGAGCACAAGACTCTGCAGAAAGCAGAGAGCGTGGACACGTTGAACGGCTTAGGCTTTCTTTTCACCAATTAAAGACAAACGCTGAGCCTCCACGACACCCTCTCCTCCAAAGTGCCGCGTCCACCCACCAACAGGCTGGGTGAGGTTATTTGAGAGAGACGCCAATATGGGCGTCATCAGTCGTTTTCACATATGCCAGCTCAGCTCAGCATATCATCTGCTTATAGGCGAAGACAGCGACTGCATTTACTCTATACCCATACTCATTTCACAATTTGGACAAGTGCTTCAAGCGGGAAAAACAGCACCGCTAACCAATCCCACATTGTCTTCATTCTGGAAGTTACATAGGATTTCATCGTCGGTACTAGGGCTTATCAGGTCACAAAAGGGTCCTTGGGGAAGGATCTAGTTAGTTCATAGAGGGGGACTGGCGGACGGTATCTGGAAAGACTCGTGGCGTCATTCGTATCAGACTTCAATGGTGAAAACCTCTCAAAATGCTGCCTGCGTTATGTCTTTGTGTATAATATTCGTACAAAAGCTATGCTACAGAACGATCAGGCAGTCCAACGCCAGTCCAATAATGCATGTATAACACAACATCTATCATATCCTTCCACATTCGTGATTAGTTCATTCGTTCGTTCAATGCAGACACAATGCTTCCGCCTCTATGTACTAATGCTTACTCGCAGCCTCTTCTGCGGTACTGTCTACTACCCATATCCGGTGGTGGCGGCGACCCCTTCCGGTGCCGTATCGTGCTGCCGAGTGACGGCATGATGTTGCGTGGTGTTACCTCGACACGGCCGGAACCCGTCTAATTTGCCTTGTCCCTACCAATCCCCATGCCGATGCCCTTCCGCCGGCCTCTGACGAGTGCCTCGAGTGCCTTTCCCATAGCCGGCAGATCGCCGAGCATTGTGATATGGCCGCGCTCGGTACAGACCCGACCACCGCGGGCGATAGAGTAGCCTTCCGGAATCATGGCTTCCTTGGCTAAGACAACGCCATCACCTGGTCGGAAAAGAAGGTCGTCGTAGGCATCAGAATAGCATATACCCTCGCGACCAGTGACCTGGGCTGCGTACACTGTGGGAATACTTTTGCCGTATAACACAGCGTGAGGAGGGTAGGCATTGGCTTCCTGGTGCTCTGGCGAGTGGGCCAATTCGGAGCGAAACTTGCGAGTCGCTGCAAGAGTTCGGGTGAGATAATTCAAGTAACGCTTACGCTGCAGATCTGAAGGCTTTGATTCTTCCACATTTGCACCACATCCATTGAGCTGAGGTGCGATAGGGTTGTGATCTCGGGCAGCCGCCGCTGGTGAAGGTGGCCATTTCTCGCTCTTGCTGTCAGCACGAGCCCGAAGAGAGTTTGGGAGGAAGGACGAGAAGGACGATGACTGAGGACGGTTGCGAGGCGGCAAAGCCGGTTGCATACACGGGCTCAGATGCCACCTGATCCATTCCTGAGGATCGTAAAAGTCGATGGGATACTCTTCTCCCGTATTCTTATCTACGAAGCAGAACCCATCCTCAGGCAGAAAGACGAAAGACGTCCGCATGCTGAAATTGACGCTTGCTGTGAGAAGCTTCTCATTCAAGAGGACTACATCACCATGGCGAAGAGGATTCAGGATATTGACGCAACGTTGCGGTGTACCACAGTACAAGACCCCTGAGAAGAGATCAGGTCTCTGGTTGACAGCATGCCGTGTGATGATACCGCCCAAACTGTGAGATATGACAAGAGCTCCACGAGATCCAGCCAGCGTCCCTTCTTGGTTTGAAGGGAGTTTCTGGAGATATTCTTGTAATTTGCGAGATAGCAAATGGGGACTCAGGCGCCAGTCATACCCATAGTCCCAAATTCGCAGCTTGCCCAATCGAGCATTATCGCACGAGCGCAGTTTCTTGATAAACTTTCGAGAGACGTCGACGGGGCCGATGTGTTTCAGCATACCGTCAGGCTTGATGGTCTCTTCCATTCTTTCCTCGTCCTCATCCTCTAATCCAACTTCGAGATTGACCTTTCGCATGTTGAGACCGAGCTTCACAGGGGCCCAGACCTGTTGGTGAGGTGGCTCGGCAGATCGTAAGACGGAACCACGGTATCCGCCCATAATCACTAAGTCACCAGTCAGAGAGTCCAGGACCCTATCGAGAACAGCAGATCCATCCTTTGAGCTAACATCGAAGTCCTTGGGAGGCTGGGGGCGAGTTGGTGATGGTTCAGGCGAGTGGAATGCACCGATTGAATGAGTTGACTTCCGTGCCTGGCTGTATAGCTTGGGCAGACTAGGTATCTTGAAGTTTGGAACGTCAGGAAGGCTGTCTTTCAAGGCCATGAACCGAATATTGACCATTTCACGGACATCCTGGAATTGCTCGTCATCGCCGAGAGAAGAAGTGCGAGAAAGACTGTGATATAAGTGACTCTCGTCAGAAGTGACCCGTCGAAGAACCCTGGGTCGCACAGAGGCAGAAGCTGCGTTAGGATCCCGGGAAGCAGAAGCGAGTCCTCGAGCCTGTTGCGGTGACGGACTAGGCCTTACTCGAGAGACACCAAGCGCATTAGAAGGAATATGAGGTGAATGCTGGCGGGTTTCTGGTGATGAGTGACTCGAGATACCTGGCGTACTGGCACTGGCTTTGTCGTGTGAGCTGGAAAAGAACGAGTTCGGCATCGAGGGTAACAGGTGCGTCGGAGGGCTAAGAGAAGGCCATGCTTTCTGCAGTCTCCTCAGTGCTTCTTGGCCTGCCGACCTAGATCGATTTCGAGCTGGAGCTAAGGCATTTCCTAGAATACTTCCTGATGGTCTGCTTGTGGAACCTTTGGTCGTAGGCTTCGGCTGAGCGTGCCAGGGTGAAGGCAAGGCATTTCGATACTGCTGAGTGGGCTCTACTTTGGTGGGGGTTCTTTCTGGGGTAGCAATCTGTGGTACCTGGGGTGTTGTCTCGGGCGAAGACGAAAGATCAGGGCTTGTGTCACCATGTCTTTTGACGGGCACGTCGAACAACCCGGCTCGACTCTTATCCAGTGCTAAGGCCTTCTCGATGGCCGGTGTGTTTTGCGAGGTCAAATGTCTAGCAGCGTCACTAAGAGCAGGTTGCAGTATTGCCTCAGCCTCATCTTGATTGCAGATGATTGAGTCATCATCATCCTGAATATCTGGACTTGGGATATCAGGTAGAGGTACATTCGACGGTTTCGTTGCCATGATTCACTTGATGAGCCCAACTACAAACCCCAGCCTGACACAACCAGAGGACAAGAACGGGAGTTTGGGTTGAACAGCGGGTTTTTGTGAAAAAGGACCGAAATTTGTGTATATGTTGAACATGCGAGTTAGCGGGCAAGACGAGACACTAGGAGAAGAGAGAAGAGGTTATTTAAGGAAGGTAAAACGAAGGATTATCAGACATGGCCGCAATGCGGTTCTTGTTTGTTCCTCGGCCTAAAACAAATCACGGAGATGGAGGAGAGAGACGGTGGAGCTAGGCCAGAGAGAGATCAGAAAGGAATCACTCAATCTGTCCAACAATGCGGCCGTGTGTGCTGATCCGGGAGGGCCGGGTGTGGATGGATCCACGATTGATGGTTGGTGTTTAGGTATATGCCGTTTTTTTCTCTTTCGTTCTCGTATTAACCGTTTCGGGCGGATGAGCCTAACGTTGCTTGTGAAGTATTATTGTCTTGAAAAAAAAGATGAAAGTCAGCTTTCGAAACATTGACAACAAATAGACCTAGTGGAAGCTTCCAAGCATTGGCCCTGATCGTCGTTGGTTTAATGAGGTCATGGTGTATGGAATTAAATAAACCGGGGATTCTGGGCCAATTACGGGCCGACAAGATGTTTTCTGGGGAATTGATCAACAGGTTATAGGGCGAAGTGAAGGCTGAGGCTGATGATGATCAATTGTGTAATCTATTTCTTTGTAGGTCGTCGTTGTTGATGTTAGGTAGGGATAATGATACACCTAGAATCGATCAACTTTTGGTGTTATACATAGTCTCTTACAACTCCCGAGTGGCAGGAACGAATCTAGGATGAAAGCTCTTATTCGGGAAGGAGCCAAGACATTAGACCAAGATTCAACACGCGCGAGCTTGGCGAGACAGGAGACAGCCACCCACATGTTCATGTGATAATGGACCCCCAACTTATGGACCCTTGAAAAATGAGATGATTCTGTCGTGAGACTTGACATTTACATGTGAAAGGCGATAAGAAAAAGACAAGAAATCAGAAGATAACTCTGCAGAAAGTCACGATCAGACTTGACAACTGTTACCAATCGGAAGGAACTGTTCCTTGCAGCTTTCGGTGGGTAACATCACAGTACCAAGAACTCTAAGTAGCATTGATATGCTAACACAGCCTTTAAGGATTCAAAGGGATTGAAGATCTTCATGCAAAAGAGAGCAGATCTCTCTGAGAATCTAAGCCTGAGTCATCTTGAATCAATACTTTGTTCAATCTCATGATTCTGTCTTCTGCAATCATTAAAGATTAGTCATGATAAACGTAGCAGCCACGCCGCACTCCATTCTCAACGCCTTCGTTAACGTCATCCACCGACTTTCCTCCCCGCGTGCTATGGACCCACTCGGTCCCGGTCAACGGCGCCGACACGACCCGGGCACAGCGGAGCTATTACCAAGATCTAATCGGATCGTTATGTCATGACCTCGAACCAGATGATCCTGTCCTAAATCGAAGCTATCATTGAGCATCAGTGTCATTGCCAGCTCTCGATATTCGTCGGACCGTCACAATGTCAACTCTCGAACCTCGACCTCCGTACTCAGAAGCTGAGATCAAGAACCTTTATCCGCCTCAACTACGTCTGCAACTCGTCCAGATTCTTCTCCGTCATGGCGAACGCACACCCATCACCGCTCGCTTCACTTCCACAGGCCTCGCGCCTTTCTGGCCATACTGCTCTGCAGCTCGTCGTTTAACCAGCGTCATTCTCGATCCTTCTGCCATCGACTCCCGTGTCGATCCCGCCGACAACCCAGGTCTTACAGCTTTCGAGTGGAAGCGCCGTCTCGAGACCTTTGGGCCTGACGATGCGCCTATTTTAGCCACTGGCCGCAATGGCGAGCTTGATGCTATTTGCGATATGGGCATGTTGACCGATCGCGGACGAGAAACAACATATAATCTCGGCCGGCGCCTGCGCCATCTCTACGTCGACCAGCTTCGCTTCTTGCCAGAGAACCTCGCTGTTGACACCGACACGGCTGCCATCTATCTCCGAGCTACACCTATACCCCGCGCTCTCGAATCTCTCCAGCAAGCTTTCTACGGTCTCTATCCTCCTTCAGCTCGCACCTGTGGCCTTCATCCTCCCACAATCCTTACTCGATCACCTGCCGACGAAACTCTCTTCCCCAACGATGGCAATTGTCGACGCTTCGCTGCTCTCGCACGCGCTTTTGCTCAGCGCTGTGCTGATCGCTGGAACGACTCCGACGAGATGGCATATTTGACAAAACGCCTCGGTCGCTGGATGCCCGAGGAACACCCGCACGTTGCTGTGGACTCTCGCCCTCGCCTTAGTGGTATTATGGACACTATCAATGCTACAAAAGCCCACGGTCCAGCCACTCGACTACCTAAAGAGTTCTATGATCCAGAAGTCAAGCGAATTATTGAGAAGATCGGCGTTGAGGAGTGGTATGCTGGATACAAAGAGAGTGAGGAATACCGCACGCTAGGCATCGGTGGACTTCTTGGAGACGTTGTCTCTCGTATGGTCGGTAGTGCTGAGCATTCTACTGCAGATGGCGAGTATGAGCTGGCTCTCAACAAGAAGGTATCTGCTACTACCCCACAACCTGTACGATTTGGAATGAGCGGTTGCCACGATACCACTCTTGCCGCCACACTCGCCAGCCTCGGCGCCTTCAACGAGGAGGCCTGGCCGCCTTTTACAAGTCACGTTGCGATTGAACTATTCCGTCACGTCAATGCAGGCGTCACACCTCCTCCTGAAGCTCCTAAGTCGAGTGGCTTCCTGTCTTTCTTAGGTTTGGACAGTAAAGGAGCCTCCCTTGCTGTGTCACCACCTCCGGGCATCGGTCGCAAGAAAACTCCAGACTTGACAGAGGACGAAAAAGAGCGTCTGAAGGGTTACTACGTCCGTCTGCGCTATAATGACCGCCCGGTGACTATCCCTGGCTGCACACCAACAGGCAAGCATCTTGATGGCGATGAGTCCTTTTGCACTTTGGTAAGTCCTAATACTCTCCCTATTACCAGCTTTGGAACCAAGACTGGTATCGTGCTTTACTTACCCCTCAATAGGAAGCCTTCAAGGAGATCGTGGATAAGTTCACACCCACAAACTGGAAACAACAGTGCCGCGCCAATATAAAGGACCCAGCATTTCCTTCCAAGCCCGAGCCATCTGGATATTAATTGTGAAAATAATCTACATGCACATGGGAGGTAACCGAGATTCTGCAATATCTAACTCTGTCCCAGTCCTGGAGTTTGTGTGCATTCACCATTAGACTCTAATCGCATTTTGCCCTCAAACGACCTCAAGAACTTAAATCGGATATAAGCTAATCAGATACATACATAGACATCACTCATGTAGGAGAACTGAACCGTCACAAGCATAAATAGACATATTGTTAAGTGATCATATGATCTGCGTTCAAGACTGTAGTGCCTAACCTAACCTAAGACTCCGTAATAGACATAAACGCAGGTGATATATCCTCTCATCCATCCATCACATGCTGAATACTCTCCAGTTCAAACAGCGTCTCGTCTCAACCATGAGCGCTCCCATCTTTCACAAAGGGGGCGTATTAATCGCAAATCCCATTTCTTCCGAATGCTCTCTTCCTCTCATGAGCAAAACATCAAAAATCGAGACCAACTTGCAATACAAAAAAAGATACACCGAAGGGGTAAATTATCAAGAAAAAGGGAAATCAAAGAATGAAGGTCTGTAAAGTCCCAAGAATCAAGGACCGGACGCCACAAGTGACGTCGATTACAACGTTTAAGCAAGTTTTTCGTTCAATCTCGCTTGTGATGAGAGTGAAAGCATAAAGATGCACAAGCGTCATTAGTTTGCAACTTCCTCCTCGACCCAACCGTTCAGGCCTCCTTGAATAGCAAGGCCGAATCCAGATCCCATACCGCCATAGCTAGCCTGGTAATGATGACCCCGTCGTTGCTCGGTCTCAGCTCCGGGAACACCGTTGGAGCCATTTCCACCGTTCTCGAATCCAGGAGCAAGCACAGGAAGACTGACCGCCCTGCTGTGCTGACCTCGGCCTGGTGCAAGCAAGCCACCAATCGTAGTGGCACCCGGTGCTGCGCTGTTGGCCGGGTATCCGTTCGAAATGCTCGCTGATTGTCCATGGCCTGAAGCAGGCACTTGCTGGGACATGGCGAGATCGAGATCGCTAGGAGAAGGCTGTGCGGTACCAAACAGAGCATTTTGTTGAGCAGCGATCTGCTGTTGCTGGTGGTGTTGTTGCTGCTGGGCCTGGTGAGAGACCTGGTTCAGATACATTGTCAAAGGGTTACTGTTGGCATTGAAGAGAGCAGCTGATTGCTGGGGAGTGTTGCCGTTGGTGGGAGAACCGCTGTTCTGGGAGCCGTTAGGTGGAGGAGAAGACACACCATCGCCACGAGGAGACTGCGACTGCTGCATCTGACGAGGGGGGTTACCGCAACGATCTTTGCCAAAGTTGACCTTGAACTTCCTGTAGTCGTCTCGGCCTCGGATGGCCTCAATCGCCTTGATGGCGTTGGCGATGTTGGTGAAGTTTACGAAAGCACAGCTCTTCTCACGCAAAGTGTTGACAAGCTCAATCTCACCATACTCGGAAAAGTCCTGTCGTAGGCGCTCCTCGGTCCAGGTTTCGTCAAGGTTGCCGATGTAGACGTTTCGGGAAGCACCACCGCTCACAGCCAGAGCGATGGCGGGAGGAAGAGCTCCAGAGTGCTTGCCCCAGCCAATCTTCAGGCGCCGGTTGTGGATCATGAGGCCCTGAATGTTGCTCAGAGCGTAAAACGAAGCAGCAGCGGTGGGATCGATGAAGGTAACGAAGCATATGTGCTTGTCGGGAATGTAACGGATATGGTGAAGAAGTCCTCCACGAACCACATTGCAAATCTCCTCAATAGTCGTCTCTGGGTGGATGTTGCCAAGATAGATGGTTCGGTTACCAAGGTTGTTGATACCTCCAGCAGTCGTAGCGACGGCAGCAGCAGCAACAGATTGCTGGGCTAAAGCATTCGAGATCAAGTCACGATCGGCACCTGTGAGCATATGGGCGTATCCAGGGGCAATACCCAGGTATTGAGCAGCATTTTGCTGTTGAGTCTTGGAAACGTAGGCGCAACGGTCCTTTCCGTAGTAGACGCGGCGAGGGGCCTGCCACTTGGGCTCTTGAGGAAGCTGGGAGACAGCCTTGATGGCGTTGGCAATCGAGAGGTAGTGGACAAACGCAATGTTCTTCTCGCGGACGATCTTGATTGTGTCAATGGCACCAAACTTACCAAGGTCCTCGCGCAGTTCCTCCTCGGTAACCTCCTCAGGCAGATTGCCCAAGTACACGTTTCGTGAAGCTCCAGATTGCTGGACAGCCAGAGCAACAGAGGTCGGAACCTGCGAAGGCTTGCCCCAACCAATCTTGATGTCCTGGCCCTTGATGCAGAGCTTTTTCAAGATGGCATCAGAATGGAAGTGAGTGGCGGAGCTAGCGTCAAGGAACGAGATGAAAGCACAGTTCTTGTCCGGCAGAAGACGGACTGACTCGATTTGACCACTTCGAACATGGCCAAGAATCTCCTCAGCCACAGTGTCCGGAGGAATGTTACCCAGGTAAACAGTTCGGCTAGTTCCTGTAACAACACCGGATCCCATTGAGACTGGAGAGGTAGGAGGCAGAGGTGCCTGCATACCGAAACCACCAGTAGGCGACTGGGGAGGGTAAAATTGAGGAGCACCATAAGTGGACGGGGAGACTATTCCTTGGTATGACTGAGGAGAAATGGTCTGCTGCACGGGGCTAGAGATACCATTCTGCTGCTGGTTGTTTCCTTGCTGTTGCTGGAATCCGGGGATGCTCTGAAATTGAGGACTGGCAAAGGCAGCGGGTGTACCGGGCTGGAAAGGGCTGCCGAGAAGCAGCTGAGAAGGTAAAAGGGGGGTGAACTGCATATCAAATGCAGTCCCCGGGGTAGCCATGTCCACTCCATTGTTGGAAGCCTGCTGGACCATAGGCTGAGGCTGGGTGTTGATCGAGGGGATGTTGCCTCGTCGAGGGTGCCGGTCGGCGAAGCCAGAAATGTTGGAGTTGAAGGCGCCATGAGAGAAACCAGTATCGCTGTTGGAAGGCTTGGAGGCATGCCCGAAGCGGTTGGCAGGGCCATTAGGGGCACCCTGGCCAACGGGTCCATTTAGGTCTTGCATACCGAGCAGATGAGGGGGGACGAGCGAGTCCCGCCCGACGTGCGACAGTACAGCCGTTTTGAAGAATTGGTTGTGCCCGAGTAAGGCACGGAGAGAGCTGCGAAGTTGGGGGGATGATCCGACTGAGAACTTCAGACGATCCAAGTCTCAAATTCAATGGCTGCACAGCAGAGCTGATCTTTCAGGGGATGGAAATCGGTCAAATCTCGAGAATCCAATGAGTCAAAGCAGGCCGTATAACAATGCTAAAGCAAATAGTTATGCAGAATAAAGTCGATAAAATCGAGTATTATGAAACGGATTGACTTATTCAAAAGAGAATAAGACAAGGCAGCTCTGTAAAATAAAAAAAAGGTCGTTCCAGGAAGCGACCGTTTAGTATATATGGCGATCGAATTTGAAAGACTTTCGGCCGAATCGAAACCGGAGGGTTTGGTGAGGCTGAAGATGCAAAATAATGGTAATCGGCTGCAAGAGCGAGTGTATCGAAATGTCGAACGAGAAACGTAAAGCACGAGGATGCGTAGCTTTGCTGAGCTTAGGATGATATCCAGGGACAAAGTGAGCTTAGCAGATGAAAAGTATTAATAAAGCAATATGGCCGAAACGAGTGTCGACGAAGCCGAAAAGTGCAGTCTCAAGAGAAGGAAGAAGAACGACACTGCATCTGCCAAGGAGCAATCAATGAAAGCCTCAGACAGTGAGTGAGTATGAGAGACGAGACTTGACGGAGAACAAGAAGAGACAAAAGTCGGCGTCGATGAGAGGACGGCACAGATGTGGAGGGAAGAAGGAGTCAAAGGAGGGAGAGGGATGAATTTCGATGTCGTCCAGGTTGACCTCCAGAAGATCAGGGACCAGGAAACACAGGGGGTGTGTTGGGTGAGCCTCAGGCCAACAAGTAATGTAATAGAAGCTCAAATGATTAGCTGTAGGCGGTAGACTGTAGCACTGTAGGTACAAAAGAGGCCGGTCCAGTCCAGTAGATTGGAAATAATGCAAGGTAATAATGCTCAAATGAGCGAAGAGGCGCCAGGGAGGGAGAGAAAAAAGGCCAGACAGACCTGGTAGGGAATGAGGTGGAGGAGGGTTCGGTGGGTGGGTGGAGTTGTAGATTGAGAAGGGATAATTATGAAATGAAAGAAGAAGAATAAGAAGAAAAGGTAGATGTTGAGATTATTGGAAGAAGAGGTTGATGGAAAAGGACGGATTGATAATAAGAAGTTGAAGAAGGAATGGATGAAGTTAGGATATGAGAATGGAAAGAATGATCAAAGGTGACTTAATCATGAAAAGAAGACAGGAAAGAGCTGATGAACGATGAATGCAACAATCCAGCGGTGATAAAATAATTATGTACGATACGCTTCTCAGTGCCTCCACTAACCAACTGCATGAATGAATAGAAGTGTGCAGTCAAGTCATGAGGTGGTCAATTCACGGTCATGGAAAGGAAAGAAAAGAAGAGACACGCGCTCGCAGTCATTGAGTGAGTGAGTGGTTGCACAATTCATCAATCGCGCATGCACAAAGCACCAACACAAAATGAACGCTCGAGACTAAAGGTGGAAGCTATTGGACTAAGACCGAGACGGGCTTAGAGGCTACCGACGACGGACAACGGCGAGCCAGTCAGGAACTGAAAGGAGAGGATTGGTGCATCTTTTCAGGGGGAGCTGAAGGCCAAGTCTCGTGGTTCAGAGAGACAGACAACGCATTGCCTCTGTTGGGTTGTGGAGAAGGGGAGGCTCTGGGGCCTGGGGGGACACTGGACAAGGGGACCATTGCCTAAAGGGGGTCAAGGTTGGAATTGGCTGCTCCGATAGTTTAATGACCCTGACAGGGATCATGTCGATTAGTTGTCACTAAAGGTCGGTGACGGACTGAACCGAATTCGTCGATCGTCAGTCAATACCAGTTGTGAACGACAATAGAAACAGCCTGAAGTGAAGTAAGTGTATCAGAATGACTATCTACGGTAAAAGGTTAGTCCTGGATAATGAGTTTCCATCAATAGCAGCCCTTTATTGACTGATTCCGTGTTGGAGATGTACATAATATTATATGCACTGCAATGTTACATACAGACAAGCTCCTCCTTGCGAAACATGCCATCCAATCCCGTCCGTCTGGAAGACTGCACTGTTTGTCTCGGCTTGGCTTCTTGGATCTGCCGGTGAATATCCATCCATACCACGCGATCAGTTCTGGGCTCAGCATCAGATAGGGGTAGCCAGTCTGCTGTTATTACTCTGTAATTGCTGTGCAGATAGTTTTCAGGTAGGTCCTGATGAAAGCAGATATGACTTATCCATTCTGAGCTAGGTCGGCTTGGTTTCGGGATAAAATAGCATGATGATGAAATTGAAAGCAATCAAGGCAATGCTGAATAGACTTTGAATGCAGCATATACGAGAATTTACTGAATTCAAATGTCACCACAAGTGGAAAGACTCCTCAACTGTGCCTCTACCAAAATCAATGACCACTACAGCTCATGCTCCAACTCTTAACTCTGTGATTGTATACATCCATAGTAGTTCAACCTGTTCTCTTCTCCCCTGGCACAAACTGGACCCCTAACTCATGATTATGGGTTATTAATGGGTCTGACGGTCCGCCCGTTTCTTCGCGCTAAACTTGCTCAAAGCTCAAAGAGTAACTTCACCCGCGTCACTTGAAACGCTCCAATGTCCTCAGCATGGAGTCAGTCTGACAGCTGGAGCATTGGAGACTCTTGCAGATCCAGCAGAGCCTCCGATACCAGACAGTTCATCGTAGCTCAGTCTAACGAACCGCTCATATAAGACATGCAGAATAGGCCCCTCTACGGCGGCTACTACACCCAATCTTTGTATTCCAAAGTCCAGTACAAGTCGTACAAGCGAGAAGAAAAAAAGACGATCCGATTCGTATTCTTCACCTTGTTACATGGTCCCCAGTCGCCGTAAAACATCAACACGGGCCCTAGTCTTGAAGCATCTCACTCCCAAACACAATCGCCTTCAGAACATGGAAGTCAATTCTATTTTCGGAAGCGTCTCAGGCGCTTCGCAAACGCGCCACCCGCTTTCAATGGTTTCAAGCGTGTAGTTGACGCTGAGAATCTTCTACTCACGGTTGCATATAATGTCGACCAACTCTCTCAGTCTCACCTGAATGAGATTAGCAGAAACGTCGGTCTGAAAGTCGCATTCATTTACTGCTAGTGGTCCCATCTCTGATCCCACGTCCCGCGATGCTACGGATACTGCGCCTTGACCAGCTACTTACTATCCCATGTTGGCGAACTCCAGACCTCGCCTATCATCCCTGAGAGCTCCATGCCCCCTTTGTGCTGTCAGTGTCAAGGCTGTTTCGCTATGCTCTATTCGTAAACGATGCCATGCACATATTTCCCAATCGATCCAGTTTACAACCTATCCTTGAGAGAACGTGACCACCTCAGGGATTCATTAATTATATCTATCAGATCTCCGACCACATCTGCCAAGCGAAAGTTGTGGTAAACCATTAGCGAGTATTTGCACCGAACTCAACGTAAAATCACAATTCATGAGCCAATAGTGGCTCGTACTGATAACGAGGATTTGATGTTCAATTGTGGGCACCAGAGCTTGACCCATTCCGTGTCACTTCTCCCGAGTGGCTCACAAGCCTCCTATAGGTCTGAGAGCTGTATGACTCGAAGGCTTTCGATTGTTCCCTCGAACCGTTACCTGTAGCACAGACACGTTCCTTTGATAAATGGGGTTGCACGATGAGGCTTTGTAGTTTATTTGCTCCTTCGAGTAGATGAGTTATTAATGACCACCCGAATATTATAGTATCCGAAGGTTGGGCTCATGGGATGTCACCAAAGGAAGCCCCTGTAGGAAAAGTCGTCGGGGTAGTTACACCAAGTGCATCTTGTGATCCTTTCAATCAGTACTCCATATGCCGGAACATTGTTTACCGAATTGTTCTGTGAAACGTATGTACTCTCAAAGCCAGTGGTGGTATATGTTGAGAGGAGACCAGAATGGAAGAACCATAGCCGTTCAGTAACTTTAATGATATATTTCTCTGCTATAATACACATCTTCTCCGCTTCATATACATTCTTTTGACGTTGACCAAACCCATGCAAGTCCTCATTATCATTCATAACACGTAACGCCATCATCTCTCCAAGTCACTCACAACTCATCCTTACCACCAGCAGCATTGCCGCCATTGCCCTCTTTTCCGCCATCCTGAAGTCCTCTCTTGACCATGGAGCTGATGATCTCATAAACAACCTGAGCAGCAGCCAGAGCTGTCTCCTCGCCACCATTCTGGTAAGCAGGAGACACCTCAACAACATCAGCACCAACAAGGTTCAACCCCTCAAGACCGCGAAGAATGCGGATGAACTCGCGGGTAGACCAACCACCGGGCTCAGGGGTTCCGGTGCCGGGTGCAAAGGCGGGATCGAGAACATCAATGTCGACGGAGAGATATACAGGGTTCTCGGTGCCAAGGACTTTGAGGATACCGTCGATTATACCCTTGGTGCCGAGGTCATCGATATCGTCGGCTGTGAAGCGGACCCAACCTTGAGAAGTGTCGTCCTCGTTGTCGGCAAAGTCGTTGCCTGAGAGCCGAGTGCGTAGACCAGCATGGACGGAGCGCTCGGAGGAGGAGTTTGAAAGGAGACCTTCTTGGTTGGCCATCCAGAACATGGAGCCGTGGGTGAACTGAGTGGCTCCCCACCACGAGGGATAGGCAGCTGGATTCCAGGTATCGAGATGAGCTGTGACGAATATGTTAATGAGGTTCTACAGGGGTTTTAACGAAGAGGCACAATTAACTCACCATCGAAGTGCAGAACCTGGATAGGCTTCCCATGAATCTCGTTCAACGCTCTCAAAGCAGGGAGAGCCAAAGAGTGATCACCACCCAAAGTCACCAGTCGAGCCTTGGGTGCAAGTGCAGAAACTGTCTTGCGACGGCCAAGCTGCTTGAAAGCCTGAGTCATCTGCTCGCGGGCAATGTTGTTGTCGATTGGAGTGATGGAAATATCACCACAGTCAACAATCTTAGCCCAGTTCTGGTAAGGGTTGATACCAGCTCGAGGATTGAATCCACGCATGGATGTCTGACGAGCAGATGCAGAGCGAATAGCTCGTGGGCCAAAACGAGCTCCTGGGCGGTAGCTCACGGCTGTGTCAAAAGGAGCACCGACGATAGCAATATCGAAAGGCTCAGTGGGTTCAGTGAGACACTTTACGTGGTTGAGATGGGCAAATGTGTTGATGCCAGCAAAGGGCCACTGTGAGAAGTCAGTATAAGTACTTCTCATGATGGTTCATGATGTGTTTGGTAAGACACTTCGAGCCTTCTCTGCTAAGAGCCTATCACATACCTCATAACCCCATTTCTGCTCAAGCTCATCAAGTTCCTCCTTCGTCCACTTCTTATCATCATGATCATGAGCGCAAGCTGTGGCCAGCCCCGTCAAAGCGAGAACGTTCAGGAGCTTCATGGCGAGTAGCAGTTGTGATTCAGCAATGAATTCAACTTGCAGATATTTGAACTAGGAATCACAGGAAGAGAGAAAGAAGCAGAAGAGAAGGAGGAAAACAGCGAGGTCTATATAGTCACCACCATGCTTCACCCTCCACCGGGCGGGCATCCGGCCCCACGAGTCAAGATCCATCAGACATACCACTCCCACAGTAAACAAGGGCTTTCTATCAACTCAAAGAAAGTCTCAAAAGAGAGATATAACGATTGCCGATTGGTCATCACCGGAGAACCATCTCCCCGCAGTTGTCTTTCTTCCCCGCCTCGAGCCCTCTTGAGGTTTGGGGGAACGAATTTGCCTGATTCAGGCATAGAATCGCACATAAAGGCTCCATGATTTCACTTTGGGTTGAGAGATAGTGACCAGAAAATGGGTCTTTGGTGTGGAACTAGGTTGAGATAGGAAAGTTGGGGCGACGGCACCTCATGTTTACTGGTAGGTATTCTTAACAAAGTCAAATCATCTTCAGCCTTTGAAATATTTGTCAAAAAGTTATAATAAACGAGGATATCCTCTTACATTCTTTTGACTTTGCAATATCAAATTCTCCTCTATCTGACCTGTGGCTCTTACAGTCATATCTCGCTGCTGAGGAACCAGGCATCTTCTATCTTCTTCTCCAGGAACATCTTATGAACAACACATATTTGTTCCAGTACTCCCAATCGACCATCATGCTTAATACACATCGCATAGGGCGTACACTTGTCGTTCCAAAGGCGTCGTACCGTCCATCATGCACCACACACAACTTGCAGCACTCAGGGACAATATCCTGTGTTTGTCTAAAACAGGAAATCATCCCAGACAAGTAATATGTCCTTTTCAACATCGACTACTATGTTGATACCTACACCTAATCTACAGCATACCCCGGCAGTTGGCCGGCCACAAGGACAGTCCAGACCCTTACCGAGCTGGCAAGCAAGGTTTTGCCTGCCGAGTGTATTTCTCCAGGTCAAGTTTTGGCGGACAAGACAGCTGAGGAGCTTTACAAACTTCAAACCCCGCAAGGTAATATATTTGCTGGTCGGGTTGAAAACGAAGACTATACGTCATGTCACTCTGTGCTTGTTCATCCGCCGAAATCTTTCTCAGTGCAAGTTCACCCGTGTCAATCAACATGATCCATTGAAAGATTCGAACATGAAATACAAAATTTTCTATAACTTAGTATGAATCAAGACAAGACATTGATGTAAATCACCCCAATCGCCAAACTTTCCTATCAAAGCATTCCCGCC